GTCCCGCAACGGATCGCAACCCTCAGTGTCGCGCCCGTACCGGACCGGGGACCGGCAACGGGATCGCAACCCTCGGGGTCGCTCCCGCGCCTCGCTCAGCCAGTGAGCGGGAACCGGTCCATATGTGGGATCCGAACCCTCGGGCAGGAGCGCCGCCGCCCTTCCCAAGTGGCGCACTTATCCAGTGCACCACCGGGCCGGCCCAAGACTTAATTTTTAGGTCAACTCTCTCGACCTATCAAGCCGCATTTGACACAGATGACGTCTCCCTCCTCCATCAACATTTTCTGCGGCAGTCTCTGGGACACGCCACTCTCCTGGTTATCCTCCCACCTCACTGGCTCTTCCTTGTCCTCATATCTCCCTGCTTCTGGCTTAGTCCTTGGACTTCTTCTTTATTCACATTTGTGCCCCTTAATGATCTCACCCAGCTTCATGGTTTCCAACATCACCTGTACACCAACTCCTCAGTGACCTCCAGCTCACCAGAACTTTCTCCTGTGAGCTCCAAACTTGATATCAAGCTGCTGCTATTCAATTTCTCCTCTCAGATATCGAATGGCCATTTCAGAGATGTCTAAAACTGACCTCCTATCTTCCATCCCCCTAGTCTCCTCCATAGTCTTCCCCATCTCAGGAACCCTAATCCTAATAGTTGTTCAGGCCAAAAACCTGAGTTATCCTTGACTCCTCTTTTTTTCATATTCCATGCACAGTCTGTCAACAAATCCTACTGGCCCTCCGTCAAAACATATCTAGAATCTGATCATTCTAACAACCACTGCTACCACCTTACGCCAGGCCACCAACATCCCTCCCCTGGAATGGCGCAGTAGCCTCCCAACCAGTCTCCATTTTTCCACTTGCCCTCAATATAGAAACCAGAATGACCTTTTAAAATGTTAAGTCACTTTGTGTCACTCTGGCTTAAGAGTGTTCCAATGGGTTTTCAACTCCTGGTAAAAGCCAAAGGCATAGTGCTGGCCCACCAAGCCCCGGCCCCCTGCTGGCTTTCTGATCTCCTTTCTTATTGCTCTCCCCCTTGCTTACTCCACTGAAGCCCCCCCTGGCACACCTCTGTATTCACTCTTCTGCCCACCTAGAATGCCCTTCACCAGACAGCCACATGGTTCACCCTTCATACCATTAGGTCTTTGTTCAAATGTCACAATGTAGACTTTCCCCAACCGGCTGTTTAATTCGCACCCCCTATTCCCACCCCAGCATTCTCTATTCCCTACCTTGTTTTTCAATATAGCACTTTTGTCATACTTGACATTTTACTTATTTTCATTTTACTATTTTGTCGTTGTTATAGTCTTGGTGGGCCAGAATATAAACTCCATGAAGGCAGGAGTCTTTGTCTTCTGCCCACCCCTATATTTGCAACACCTGGAATGGTACCTCACATTAAAAGCTGAATGAGTGTCGACTATGACTGCTCTTCTAGAGAGGATTTTCTTGACCCGGGTCTGCAGCCGGCCTTGACATTCTGCCTTGTGTCCTAGCTTCCTGAGGATGGAGCTGTCTTGCTCCCTGTCGGCAGTCTTACCTGCCTTAACTGCCTCTGACGTGGCTGCGTCTGTCTGTTCGTTTTCCTCAGATGCGTACTCTCATTCCTCAAGTGAAAATGGAGGCAAGTCCGAGTCAGTGGCCAACCTGCAGGCTCAGTCCTCCCTGAACTCCATCCACAGTTCCCCAGGCCCCAAGCGCTCTACCAATACCCTTAAGAAGTGGCTGACGAGTCCTGTGCGTCGACTCAACAGTGGGAAAGCAGATGGAAACATCAAAAAGCAGAAGAAAGTGCGTGATGGTCGGAAGAGCTTCGACCTGGGATCTCCCAAGCCTGGGGATGAGACGACCCCTCAGGGGGACAGCGCTGATGAGGTACTCACACGGGGGCCCCCAGCCTTTCATTATGAAGGACCTACCGACATGCCCCTGTCCACAGGTTTTGTAAACTAGTCAGTCTCTGATCTCCAGTAGTTTGTTGTCTTGAGCCTAAGTAATTTGAGTTCTTCTTATTCTCAGGACCTTGGCCAGTTTGATTTGTGACCAATTCAGAGACTGACTAGCACCTAGAATATCCAGCAGACAGAAACCAAGTTTTGCCAGATTTGGAGTAAGCTGGGCCTGAGGGGAGTCGATTGGTCACCTAGTTCCTACCTCTCTTGAGGACTACATCAAAACCAGCTAGACCTGTTTAGACTAGGAGTGAAAGAACGGAGACCATTTTCATTGAAAATAGAATAGTGTGCTGGGAGATTATAGCTATTTTCAAGTATCCTGAGCAGTGCCACGTATAGAAGGGAGTAGACAATTCCAGGTTGCTCCAGAGGTGAGAACTACGATTTACAGATGAAGGTTATAATAGGCAAGGTTTCAGTGATGAAATGCACCTTCCTGAAAACTAATGGACACCCATGCTAGAAGGGTGTGGGAGACCATGTGACCCCACATAACAGTCAGAGAGATCCAAGAAGTTAGGCTGGATGATCTCTGAATTCTCATAAAAAGGTGAGATTCTGTAATTAAAATATAGTGGATAGGTTTTGGTTGGGGGAATGAGATACCTGTTTTATCTGGCAAACTAACCTATTCTAATCACTGCCGTGGCTAAGAAATTCTCCCTTATATGTAACTAGACTCTGTCTTGTTGTAGTTGTATGCCCTATGGCATTTTTCTCACTGGAAATGGCAGTAGAGCCTGGTGACATATGGACTGCGGTTTAATAGCCCTTCAAAATTTAAAAAAATTAGACTTTCTCTGACCACTCTTTTATCTTTCCCTTTTCCTGGCTTTTCAATAAGATATATGGGGGTGGGGGTGTTGTTTGGGTTTTTTTGTTTTTTGGGGGGGGGTTTGTATACGTGTGTATTTTCCCCGTTTGGACCTCACTATCCTTTGAGATAAGCAGGTGCATCCATATGACAGAGGAGGAAACTGCAGCTGAACAGATAGGGGTGTGTTGAGAGAGGAATCTTCCTCTTGTTTTGCTTTTCAAAACGTCAAGTCCTGAACTGCAAGCATCTTTAACCATGTGAAACAGTAACTAATGCTGCTCTTTTGTTCTAGAAGAGCAAGAAAGGTTGGGGTGAAGATGAGCCAGATGAAGAGTCACACACACCCCTCCCTCCGCCTATGAAGATCTTTGACAATGACCCGACACAGGACGAGATGGTAGGACTTCTCCACCTTCTCACGTGAGGGCAGCATGGAATGCATGCATCTTCACTTTCTGTGTGTGATGGGGGTAATGCTCTCTCCCATGTTATCTCTTACCCCACATGAATCAATGGCGATTGAGACTCTGTCTGTATTTGGTAAATGTCCCCTCCCCCAACCCTGGAGGTCTGACTCCATTCTGGGCAGTGTAGAGGGTGTATGTAGAATTCTCAAAATGGAAATCTGCCTGGTGTCTCATCTTGCCTTCTAGATAAAGGGTAATGTCTCTGTTTTTGGAAGCAGCAGATCCTAAAAGGAACTACTTGTCTCAAAAGGGAATCTGCAGTGGTTCCAGGTTGCAAGCATCTTGTTACACGTGACTGTACAACCTACGTTTTGGTTGTTTTGCCTGTAATCAATTCTAAAATCTAAACAGTGGTAACTTCCAGTCAGGCCCAGTGCTGTTGAAACTTTGCAATCACAGCATGAGGGATGGAGATACTGCTAAGGGGAGGTTGTTGTCAAGGTGGGCAAACCTAATATGCCAAGTTGCCCGGCTTGTTTGTTTTGTGCAATTCCCTGGCACACTGGCATGCAGAGGCTTCCTGGAATCTGAAATGTCGAAGTCCACTGTGCCTATGATCACCCAGTGATGATGATCCCGATTGTTCTGGAGGACCGCTTTAATTGTGATCCTGATTGGTTTTGGGCTGCTTTAATTGTGTTCTCTGTCACTTAGTTTCCTTAAAGCCACGCTTTCACTTCCTTGTGTTTTTCTTCCCTCCTCTTAATTGTTGCTGATCCTCTTAGGCTCTGGCGGTGGAAGTGGTGGTTTCAGTTTTTCATTGTGCTTTCCATTTGCTTTTCGGACTGTCTTTTGGTGGTTATGGTGGTGGTTGCTTGCCTGCCCTGCCCTGCGGGGTCTCCTTGTGCTCTCTAGTACTCTGCTTGCAGGGGCGCAGCCTCCTTCAAGGTGGTGGGCCGGCATCTTGAGGCAGGAAACAAACCCTTCTAACACTGCCTAGGATGCTTATCAAAGAGTTCTGTCTGCAGATGCTTCAGCATTTCTGGTGACATTCCAGTTCCTATTTAATTCTCTCTGCTTTGCATTTGAATTGTTAACCTGCAGACATTAATTGAGGTCTTCCTCTGTGTTAGGCTAGAGGGACAGAGTGTAGGGACAGGACTATGACTGAAATGTGGTTGGCCACCCCTTATGACTCACCTATGAGAAGTGCATGGTTGTGGCCCTTCCTGAGGTGATGTCGGTGTCCTGGTCTTCAAGGCCAACTGTCTGACTCTGGGCTGTTGAGAAGAGTGGTAGGAAGCAGGGCATTATGCCTATCCTGGTTTCCCAGAGGCAGAAACACCTGTGCATCACCTCAGGATGAGAATGAGAACCAGCCTGCTGTGTTCCCAGCAGCTGACCCTTGTAAAATGTTCTATAAACAGTGGCAGTGTCTGTGGGGAGCAGGCACTCAAGTCCCATTATCTGCGGTCCCACACAGCCCTCCACCTGGAGGGGTCAGCTTGCATAAGATAAGGAAAGGTCATGAACCCTCTCCATCTAATTCCCTCCAACACAGTTTGTTTGGGGGAAATGGATGTTATGTTGTTTCTGGATAATTTTTAACTGAGAATGCTGATTTACCCCCAGACGTTTGTGTAGCCCTTTTCTTAGCCAGAAACAGGGCAGATGGCAACAGTCCCTTCATAGACACATTAACTTACCTCAGTCCTGCTTGTCTGATTTCTGTACGTTTGTTTTCCTGGAAAATATGGGAGCAGGATGAGCCTCAGAACTTCTAGCAAGTAGAGTTGGAATTAGTAAAACTATTTTTACAACAGTGAAAAAGGAATTTTTTAAAGTTCATCCATTATAATGTTGTGTGGTTAAATACATTTCCTAAAGTCTTATTAATTTTACCTTTATAACTATAATTTTAATAGCTGGAGAATATTTTACTTATTTGATGTTCCATAATTTGCTTGACCAGCCTCTGTTTGAGCCGTACTGACAGGGTGTTCTCAGTCTTTGCTAGGCTAGATAATACTACCACAGATCACAGTGTACATATAACGTTAGTTTCTTTGACTTCCATCCTTGGAATAAATTCTCAGGAGTAGTATTACTAGATCAAAAAGGTGCTAATTTGGTTTTCCAAGTAGACTTAAGCTTTTCTGCATTACCCAAGAGAGGAAAAAGAGCATTGTATCTTAATTACATATTTGATTTCTTCCCCCCATCTCAGAAGCAAAGATAGAAGTAACTCAGCTTAGACAAGATGCTGTCCTTTTGAAAGTCTTCCCCTAACCTAAGGGACAAACTTGAAGCCTGAGCAAGGCGGGGACATTCAACTTTCAGTACCCACAATCATTACTGCTGAAGACTGAAGGAGCCTGTGTCCTGGCCCTGGGAACACCATTGTCCTCTGCCCTGATATGCTAGGGAGAAAAGCACACGCATGTGTGCAGGGTTAACCACTTCTCCCTCAATGTCTTCTCATGTAGAGGAAGCAAAAAAAATAAAAAATCCCACCATACTTCAGTGGGCAGGAATCCCCAAACCATTGACCGAACAGCCATGTGGATGAGTCCTTATTATAAATGCAAGGGAAAGACAGATACAGTGAGGCCCTTCAGTCGAGCCTTCCTTTACTGTAAACAAGTCCCTGGTCACTCCAGCATGTGGCACACAACTCTTGCTAAAGCCTTTTATTACTTTCTAGTGCTACAGTTCAAGGGCCTTACCAGATCAGCTATGTTTTGTGGAGAAGTAGGAATAGTGGCAGAAAGAGGGAGAGAGAGGCAGGGGGAGAATATGGGGAGGGATGTCTGGCTGGCTAGTCTCTTAAGTGCTGTGCCCCTAGCATTTTTGCTTGACACACAGTGAAGATCTATATCTAAGGCTGTAATAAAGCAAGAATTATTTCTCTTCTTTGGACACACTTGACGCTAGGATTACTGACTCCTTTCATACTCTGGAAGAGCAACGAGCAGCCGTGTAGTAGCCAAAGTCCTGTTTCACCTCAAAGCAAGTTGCCCCTGCCCTGTCACTGTCAGTAGGTGCAGTCCTTGCCTACTGACCTCCCGGGAACTTGGCCATCCCTCCTCTCAGCTCCTCGGAGGCCTGTCTATGGAGAGCTTGGCCCCACCCATGCTTTGCTGCTTGCCAGAATTCCAGGTCAGGTGGGCCTCTCCCACACCCACACTACCCCTCTCTCCCTTTGTCATCTCTTCCCTCTGAACATAGAGCTTTGCTTCCCTTGCCTGCCTTAAGCTTTGGACTCTCTGTTTTGCCTCCTAATTGCTGTTCCTCATTCCTTGCTAATCTGCTTTTTCCTTTGCTGCCCGATGTCTTGCAGTCCTCCTCTTTGCTAGCAGCCCAGCAGGCTTCCACTGAAGTACCTACTGCTGCAGACCTTGTCAGTGCAATAGAAAAGTTGGTCAAAAGCAAGCTGGTAAGTGGGGGTTCTGGAGGTAGTTCTGTGTGTATCTCACCTCCAAGCAGCTCTCAGGCCTTGCATCTATCTGCCATGTTCTCCTTTGCACCTATGCTCACTCCTGTAGGATTGTTTCCACAAATGATGGTTTCTAAAAAGCAGTACCTCAAAGTCCTTTTTGGCTTCGTTTGGGAATGGGCATGGGGAAATGGGGAATTAATTAACAGGGTCTTTGAGGGTTGTGATGTTGATGAAAGGTGAAAAGAATCTGAGACAAACCAGCCTTGCTGTAAGCCTGATCCACTGGTCCACAGGCAAGTGGCATCTGGCCAGTGACTGATGTGTGTCCGGTTAGCCCTGTTAGTGCACTGTGCTTTTGAGACACAAAACATGGATTGGATCTTTGAAAGCACCAGGTAATTTTATTTGGGGACCTTACACAGCCTTCTAGGTTGTAGGGTCTTACAAAAGAAGACTACTGATTATAAAGGGGAACAGGCAGAAGTGCACGGATACTTCACCACAGGAAGTTAAGGGAGCCGGTGCACATCCCCATCATGGCGGTAAGAGCTGAAAATGAGCCACAGACAACTGATCTAGCCTGTGACTTTCTCATGGACCAATCGGACCACTGGAGGGAACGATGATGAGTCTGATTTGGTTTGGGATTTTGGCATAATACTGGTGAAAGAGCTCCTTTTTGGGTAGCTCCTTAGGATGAAACTGTTTCTGCGTTCCCCTGTTTTTACACTTAAGTATTCACTGTAGGATGACCATTTAAAGCCATTTCCTTTAAGGGGCCGGCCCGTAGCTCACTTGGGGAGAGCGTGTTGCTGACAACACCAAGTCAAGGGTTAAGATCTCCTTACAGGTCATCCTTTTAAAAAAAATAAAAATAAAAATAAAATGAAGCCTTTTCCTTTCTTTCGCTCTTATCTGTGTCACCCAATTGGCTTTTCCTGCAGTCCTCTTCAGGATAAATATGTCTGTGCTTCCGCCAGGCTTCTATTGGAAAGTCTTGTTAATCAATGCCATTTAAACCCTTCTCCACTTGGCCCAGGAATTAGAGGAAAACGATGGATGTTGTCTAGGGAAAGTTGGCTGATAGTTTTGATTGCAATAACTATTGCAGATATCCCAGCTTATAGCATACAAATGAAATATAACGCATATGATTGTATTCTTTTTCTTCTAAATTTTCCTTCCTAATTAAAAAAGAAAATAGCTGGTGTTTTTATTTACTAGTGTCAAACTCATTTTTCTGCTGTCTCCCTGTTCTACCAATAGGAGTTAAGTGCTCTCGTGGGCACTACATGACTTTTCAAAGGACCCCTCTCTGACCACTCTTCACTTGCTCTCCTTTACCTTTTCACTCTGACCCACACACCTCCCTCATTCACCAAATACCATTTAAAAAATTTTTTTTCTTAAAACCATCCTTTCTTTTACATTTTCTCTTTTACCACCTGAGCTGAGGCCCTGACGTCGTGCGTAGACCATTGCAGTAGTCATTGCTTGCGTGATCTTCACCCACCCAATTTGCTTCCACACCTCGCTCTCCTGTGGGTCTTC